TTTTTTTCGTTTCAGGTAAGTTGGACGTTAAAGGATGTTTCTGAATGTTGACACGATTCTTGAGGATCGGAAAACACGTTTGTTACATGATTGTATTCGTGTCTTCAGGTAAGATTGAATGTAACTAATTAATATAATTCATTGGTATAATTTTAGTACTTGCAAGAAGAACGGACTCATTATGCTGTTTACAAATGTGTCTCATTAAAAGACAAATACTCAATAGTTCTATCAGATGTCTTATTTAAAATATACTTGATTGCTTAATATAAAATATACTTAATTAGAATGAATAAATTGATGGTACAGAAAAAAATAAAACCTTCGTAAAAAAGGAGAGATTTGAACCCTAGTCGACAGGGTAGAAATTTGGCACTTCACCGCCGCGCTATCTTAGCACTCTATAATTGTCTCCACCAAAACAGTATTTATTGTAAGAATGAAATTTTACATCACAGTGGAAACTGCCGTTTATGGTCAGACATACGATACAAATTATTAAGAAATTCCTTTTGTTTCTTTCGGAGTGTTTGTACAACGGTATACTGGGGTTGTTAATCAATTAGAAAAGTAAGAAACGAGTGCGAAACGAAAGAGCAGCGATCTCGCGTATCGCATTGCGAAGTGTCTCGGCAGCGCGCACCGTAAATCAGCTATCCCGGCAATTACATTAGAGAAGGAAGTAGAAAAATAGAAGGCAAGAGCAGGCATCGAGCAACGGTTACCGCAGCCGGGCGAAAAGGGTGATTAGCAGGCGAGCGTTGGGTAGGTTCGCGAGAAGAGCGTCGGACAGGAGGTGTAGTTTGGCAGCCCTCCCGATTCCGTATTCTGCAGTGATGCGCCGCATCCCAGCAGCGGTGCGTCGCCTCGTGCCGTTGTTATTGTTGTGTTCGGAACGGTGCAGCCAACGAGAGGGAGCGCGCTTAATTCCCGTCCCCGTTCAACCGACGGAGACAACCGGACATTTTTGTTTGGGGTTACAACGCGCATGTGACGTACGGGTACACTCTAACCCCCTCTCTCGGTCTCTCTTTCTGTCCTCTCTAGAGCTCGACACAAGTCCGATGCTAGAACACAAGTTCCCTCTCAGTGGCCCGTGAACCGCGACCGGAGCAACACGCGCTCTTGTTGTCGCTCGATCGATCATTGTTTCGCCAGACACGCGATTACGCCTCCTCTTTCTACCTATTATACGCTTCTCTTCTCTCTCCGTACCTGTCTTCGTGGAACGCTCGCCGCTTCCGCCATGGACAACGCTTCCGGTCCTTCCTTCGACGAGTCTCGAACGTCCTACGTGTCGAGTGATCAGTGACTCGTGTTACTCGATCGTGCCGCACACTTTTTCCGCCCTCCGCAAACTTATATAATGGACAATTTGTGCTATTAATATTTCACTTTTCGATACAAGGTTATTTCGAGCGGTATAAAGGTTAGAAGTAAGGGTGCTCGGAGTAACGGTAAGGGTTGTGACAGTGAACAGCGTGTGGTATAGCTGGGTACCCGGGTATTTTCCCTATTCGGAGGATCGTAATTGTTTCTTCGTAACGTAATGCAAATTACTATGCATGCTCTACGATTTATTCGAGTTTCTCCAGCATAATAAAGAAGTAGTTCTTTAATAAAGTAAGATAAGTTAATATTCCGCGTTCGAGATTCTTTTGTTATTGCAATTGTTTAACTCGAATTCTTTCAACACTTGCTACAGCGTCACGAATTCGATTAATTACGAAAACGGAAGCAGAAGAAACCTTTAGAAACTCAAATCTACGTTACACGGCAACAAATTACCATAATAGACATAACTGAAATAATAAGCGAAGAGTAAATAACGTGTCCAACCACGGATATCGCTTTTCACCGTAACAGTGAACGCGTTAACGAATCAAGGGGTGATCGCGGACGAATTATACGGAGTACGGGAACTGTAAAGCGTGTCGTTAAATTAAAAAACGAATCCTTAATGAATACAGCGCTTGGTATTATCATACGGCGTAGCAGGTATGACTTTACCGTGGCAGTCATCGCGTTAACGCTCGGTTAATGAAGTTACGATAATGACAGAGGGATTCCGCGTTCGTCGCGTTCGAGGCGCGAGGTTGAACACGCGACCGGTGTAATAACGAGAGAATCGATGTCCGCCACCCTCGTCGATACCAAAGCACTTTTCCCTGCTAATTCATTCGTTTGTTCGTCGAATGTACCGTGCACTACCTACCACTCGGTTAATTACTCGCTTACGCCTGGTCATCGCTTTCAACCGTTTAACAATCTTTGTAGTTCGTTTTTATATTCACCGACATCTATGCATCGCAATCTTATTCTTTTCATCTTTCGTGTTGGGAGATATTTTGAATTATAATTTTGATAAATTATAAGATTCGTTTTGTGGTAAATTTTGTCGATCTGGAAAGAAGCGCGAAGTCCTCGTGATTGCGACACGAGTCTCGAATGAATCCGTTCGAAGCGGCACAATTAGCGCCGTTCGTAATCGGCGATACTAATTAGCAGGTAAACGGCGCGGAAAAAAATCAAGGGTTTCTTTCGTGTCGGTAATTAATCGGTCCCGACACTCTCGACTTCGCAGCCAATTAGCGGAGTGGCTCGATTCGACCGAACAAACTCTTTCGCGCGTTTCAATCGCTTTTCTTTCACGAATTTTAAACGTGTCGCCACTCGACACTGTCCCATTATTCCTTTTCTGCGAACGTACACAGAGCGTATCGTAACGAGTGGAATCCGATTCGCTGGCAAAAAGAAGAGACGCGATCATTTTTCTTCGACTTCGATTCTAGAGGATCTATAGGATAAATAGGCCCTCTTACGAGAAAAGTAGAAGAGCAAACGACGAACGTTAGCGAGATCGAGAACGCATTACGAAACCATCGTTGCGCGTCGATTCAATTTGCCTGTAAGGCTCGATTACCCCGATACAAAAAAGAAGGATACGTCCCACGTAGAAGAAAAAGAACGCGAAGATAAATGACTGTTAATCGACGACGATGACATCACGGACGGTTGCTCTTGAAAATTACCTCGGAACGTAGATTCGCCTGGTTGGCCGTGTTCGCCATTTCCTTTCTCTCGGTCTGTCCACACGGCTTTTAATCCCTCGATTTAACCGGGGAGGCTCGCGAATATCGTCGCTGAAAGAGAGGTAAAAGGCTGCATTGTCGATCGTATTCGGCCGGTATCAGTTTCCATTCGGCGTGCCGGTCGGAGGATGAGTCCGGCCCTTTTTCAATTAAGCTTTGATCACAGAGTCGAGATAAAACGCGTCGAGAGCCCCGGCGAACATCGGTCGATCCGGGCAGGAGGGGCAACAGAGGGCAGCAGGAGGGCAGGAAAAGCACCAACCACTTTCCTAGTCGAACGCGTTAAACGAACAAAAAGGAACGCCGGTTTAGCGTGATCACCTTTTGACAACGTGTACCTTTCACCGTGTATCCGCTTATTATACGTCGACGAACCGAGATCCGTCGATTGTTTGCGATTGAACGAACAGGAAACCTGATTCGATGACCTTTCGATCTCTGTCTTCTCTCTGGTTTCGACTTAAGCCTTCGAAATTAGGTTCGCTGCTCTTTAGACCTACCTCGAACATTTTTCATATTTTCTTCTTACCGATATTTTTCACGACCCTCTAAGAAATTCCCCGCGATTCTTTAAGGTTCAAGAAAAATTCGGGTAGGTTGTATACTCGAAGAACAAGGGGATGATCGATAAGGAGGTAAAAAGTAGAGAAGATGGCGAGTTTAACAGGATATATCTTCCCGGTTCGGGGCCGTCTCCTATTTTAACCGACATATAAATTACGACTGGTGAGTCGACCGAGTGTTCGTCTTTTTGCCGGTGCTTTCGAACTTTTCGTCGTCCGCGAACGTTGGAGAGAGACAGGGCAGGGTCCGGAGGGAGCAGCAACGAAAGGGAAGACACGTGGAAAGCGACGTGCAAAGCAACAAAACGATAAGAGAGAAATCGAGCGAGTCAGAGGGTGAGCGACGACGAGAAACACGGCGTCGAGGGTGTTCTCCGAGCTTGGATCGACTGTTTTCACTCGGTGGATATTTTTAAGCCCCGTTTGGAACGACCGATTTCCAGGAGGAAGAAGGCTTTCTCTACCGGTCCGAGAAAGACGGAACGAGATGCACGGTCACGGATAATCGAGAAAGAAAAGGCTGCGTCCCATCTTCTTCGTTTGTTCGCTCTGGGGACACGCTTGTTTCGGACTAATTGAGCCCGGGAAAAACGCGTCACTTATTTTTCTTACCGTTCCCTGCTTCGTTGCTTCACTGATTTCCATGCCTCTCCTGCATGCTACTCCCTCGGTTTATTAGCTTTTATATAGTGTTTCTCTACGAAGTCCTTCACCGGCTTAGCTAGGGTTACTCCCCACAAAATGTGAACTCGATGAACCTGACGCGTCTCGTATTAGGAACTCGAAATTTTCAATTATTCCTGAAGAAGGAAATTTGCGCCCTTTGAACGAAAGAGTTTATGGATGACGAGACTTCGATTTTCAAATCGTCACGGGATGCGCGAACATACTTTTCCCGTTTAATTTCCCGCGAGACGTAAGCAGCCAGCTCGATTCAATTTTTCCGCCTAGTACACGCGTCGCTTTAATAAACACCGTTTGGTCCGTTGTAGCAGGTTTTTAATTTTCGTTAAAAATCGTCTCGACCCTTCTCGATGTTTGAACGAACCGCTGGTTAATTGGCGAGCGAGCGATAGATCGTAGTTCAGGTCAAAGCGGAGCCTCTTCTTCGGTCGTGGCTCATTTAATTACCGAAACGCCAACTCGACAGGGTGCTCCGCAAACACGTAAATACGCTCGTCGATCTTTCGTTTATTTACGAACCGACTACCGTGTACTTTACGTTCATCGACGACGGGGCTCGCTAATTTCTAACGCTTTGACTTGTTCCTACGATCAAATTATTCTACACGAATCGAGAATAAAATTAAGTTTAATCGCTACCACCCGCAGATTGGCGACAAGTAAAAACTGCAAGGAACGATCGTAACGCGTAAAGAGGTTACCGAGCGTTTGATCGATAAAGTGTTTAAGTGATAAAGTGTTGAACCGATTTTTGATTAATCGTTCGGATCGTGTTTCGGTAAAACGAACACGTGGCGTGGATTCGATTTCGCTTCCGTTCGCGTCGACACAGGATGGCCAAGAGTCGATTTCTTTCGAAGGAAAGAGCGATAGGCGAGTGAACAAGTGCGATCGAGAGAAGCTGTGGAGAGAAACTGTGACAAATGGTTCAACCCGTGCAAACGGAGAACAACAACTCCGCCTTGGACATGGAGTCGTTCGAGGAGATGCTTCGCAAGGTAACTCTTCCCTCTAATTTTAAACCCGATAGGAAATAAATCTTGCAGCTTACCTATAATTAACCCTTTTTCTACTCGTTCGCATCTTTAAGAAGTAAACTGTTATCTAAACGATAGCCCCGGAGCGCTGTTTACCCGCAAAGGGAGTAAATTATTAAACTTCTCCGCGGTTAATCGATACGTTAGTTAACGATGACCATTTTCGTCGTTGCAAAGCAGTATAGTATTAATTCCTATAACGATTAAAGAGCAAAAATGTTTGGACAAACGCGTTATTATGATCCACGTGCCATTCACTCGATTTATCATGGTCATTTAACGGGTTAAAGCAAGAATCACATTACGTTCTACGAAGCAGGCCCAAAGACGTACGAATACGAGGAGGGGAAAAGGTTTTTTAACTGCTACTTCCTGTAATGTATTCCGTCAGGCATCGCTGAATGGACCACTTAGCGAGCATCCCGCACACGCGTGCCCTCTCTAAAGAGCTGCCCTCTCGCCATAAGCGCTTTACCGTCGGTCTAAAGTCGAAAGCCTATTCCTCCGACCACCTACAGGATGCTTCAAACAACTCCTACACAGAGAACGTTGTAAATTCTTCCTGCTGAAACCACTCTCTCCTCCGCTTCACTTTCCTTTTCAAAATCTGCGCCATTAAAGATCAAGTGTTCTACGTTTAACCCTTTCGATCGTTGCATCTCAGAAACAGCTGCAAATCGCGAAACGTTTATGGAAAAATTTATGCCTTTCTCGATACGTAACTTTTTATTTTATTTCATGGAGAATTGTGTCTTTGTCTTAGCTTTTTATTAAGAAGAGAAAGATATATTAACCCCTTCCCGTGCTTTGACGAGTCTCACTCGCGACGCACTCACAACTCAAATGTGATAAACCTTACTCAAATTTTGAATACTCTTCAACTTGAAGTTTAGATCCAACTATAATTTGCGTTGTCAAGGATCCCTGAATATAAAATACTTAGAACATTTTCATTTTCTTTGTTCGTTTTAATGTTATAGTCCTGAATGGTTAGTCTTGACTGACGCACCTCATAAATAAATGGCACGGGAAGGGGTTAAGGTAGTCGCCGAGGTGCATCATCAGGTATAATCGTTTTGTTTTGGAATTATAGGAAACAACGTGGTTTATGAAAATCGTGCGTTGCAAGAGTTTTGAAGCAACCCGTAAATGTACGCGGTACTCTCCCCCTTTCTAATAACGCGTTAATGGTCAATTCAGCAGAAAATAGCAATCCCCTTGCTCATCGACTATCGAGGACACTTCTACCGCGTTTTTTTCACGCGACCCGCTATAACTCCACCCTCTCGCGAAAAGAACATCGCTCTTCGAATGTCGCTGAAAACGACGCCGTGGTAAGGGGAGCAGACCTTCGACAAGTTGCCTCTCTTTCTCCGCGTTTCTAAGGGTCCATTGGATGTGGACAAATAAGCAGGAACTACCCTTTTCAAATTATTCAGGAAGAGAGTTCTTTATCGCCGACTCTTTCATCCGTTCGTGACATAAAACATCTTAAGAAAAAGTTAAACGTCGAAATTTTAGAGCATACATTCATCGTTGAAGATTGACATCCACGCGATACCGCGGGACATGTTCTTGACTCGTCGTTGCAGCACGCAACAGCTGTTCGAGTTGGCTGGCGTTACGTTTTGAATCATCGTCGATTTTACGTAACAATTGCGGTAAAACTGTACACGTTTTACTCTTTAGCATAAAAAAACCTTTCCTTCCTCTCCCTTTTAAGCGCTTTTTCCTGCCTCGACTCTCTCTTTCTGGTAACTTTGTCCGATACGGGAGAAAAAATAAAGGGAAAAGCTCGATTCTCGCGTAGCCGCGGTAATGCAGCTTTAATGCAGAGCTCGCGAAGGGAAAGTTGTGTCATTTCCCTTTGACGATTTTCCACGTCAAACGACCGCGCTGATTTCCACGTTGGGGTATTAGCTTTTTACTCGCCATCGACTGTCTCCGCGCGTTGCATTTTCTGCTTTTTAAGTAGAGCGGGCAAAGAGAAGAGATTGTAACGCGATAGATTCTCGAAACTTTTGCGCTCGCCGCGATAAAACCTCGATCGCTTTTTCCGCGATAAATTCAATCCGTTTCTTTCTCGCTTTCCTCTTTTCCTCGATACCATCCGTGGTTTTTCAATCGATGGCGAAAGGAAAATCAAAACGTTACGTGTGACGAGAATCTCTCGGAAAATGTGCACGAAACATGGTTCGACTTTATAACTTTTTCTGTACACATGAAAATCGCAGACAAGTAGTATTATTATCGAAAGGAAGAAATAAAACAAGATCATACATTGTAACACTGAATTACATTTTCAACAAAGTGTTCGTTCATCTGAATCGATTTAAAAATATGCACGAAACATGGTTCGACTTTATAACTTTTTCTGTACACATGAAAATCGCAGACAAGTAGTATTATTATCGAAAGGAAGAAATAAAACAAGATCATACATTGTAACACTGAATTACATTTTCAACAAAGTGTTCGTTCATCTGAATCGATTTAAAAATATGCACGAAACATGGTTCGACTTTATAACTTTTTCTGTACACATGAAAATCGCAGACAAGTAGTATTATTATCGAAAGGAAGAAATAAAACAAGATCATACATTGTAACACTGAATTACATTTTCAACAAAGTGTTCGTTCATCTGAATCGATTTAAAAATATGCACGAAACATGGTTCGACTTTATAACTTTTTCTGTACACATGAAAATCACAGACAAGTAGTATTATTATCGAAAGGAAGAAATAAAATAAGATCATACATTGTAACACTGAATTACGTTTTCAACAAAGTGTTCGTTCATCTGGACGAACTTAAAAATGTGCACGAAACATGGTTCGACTTTATAACTTTTTCTGTGCGCGACATGAAAATCGCAGACAAGTAGTATTATTATCGAAAGGAAGAAATAAAATAAGATCATACATTGTAACACTAAATTACATTTTCAACAAAGTGTTCGTTCATCTGCATCGACTTAAAAATAGTGATATTATTGCAGCATCGATTTGAATTGTTCGGAAAGTCAGTGGTTTGAAAAGAAAACATTAGAGGGTAAATAATTTGGACGAAAGGCTTTTCCAGCGTTAATTATTCCCCGCGGGCGATTTTTCCCTCCTTCGGAACACGAGACGATGAATTCAGCGCGTATCGAAGCAATGAAACAGAAGAGGCCCACTCTGGCCAAACAAACGCCAATTAAAATGAAAATAGCCACGAAGGAGAGCTCGCGAAATAAAGCACGGCCGGTCGAGAGAAAGGATCGTTTATAATTTCGTCGAGCTTTTCCGCGGCCATCGAGCATGAATGTTTCATGAGCGAAGCTGAAAACGTTCGAATCAGACACAGCTGCCGCTAAGAAAAAGACCAACGCGTCTCGCGAGCGTGCAGGTGAAAAATACTGTAACGAGCGGGAAAATTATTGTTTCGATTCCATCGAGAAGACGGCGTTAATTAAAAACGTTTGTACGCTCGTGTAAATTTGCGATGCGAACCGACGTTGCTAATTGAAAACCTCTCCTCCGGCTGTAAATTGGAAATTCGAAAATTAGTAAATCGCGGAACGAAACAAAGTAATCTCTTTGGCGAATTCGAGCAACGTCGGAACGACTACCGGACGATGTTTGACAAATCGGACACAGTGGCTGGACTCGGTCTCGGTTTCCTGTCCACGGCGTATTTATAATTTATGCATGGAATGCATAATCCAGTCGGCTGGAGGATTTGCATAGGCGCGTAAAGCTGACGGATCGTGTTGGCCTTCGTGAAATAATGCTTAAATAACGTGCATCTGCATTATGCGTATTCATACATAATTCAACCAAAAACTTTCCTCTAGCATTTAATCTCTTTCAGCTTTTGTCGTGGATCGAATATTCTCCGAACGCGATTACCTTTCTCGTTCGCGACGCGTAATAACGAACATGTATATTGAAGCAGTTCGATATCGCGTTTCAAATTCCGTGGAAATTACATATGTATTAGATGATTAACAAACGACCGTTCGCAAATAAAGGCCGAACATCCCCGAAATTTCTCAAATTTCGTACATAACCCGTCGCGTTATCAAATTTAATATACAACGGTTAATTTTATCGCGCAGCTAAAATTACTAAACTGTAAAGTTATCTCCGTTAAAAGCTCGCGAAATACCCCAGCTGGATAGTTGATAAAATTCGCTCATCACCGGGTAGCTGTCGAGGCCCTCGAAAGTTGGAAAAGCTCGTCCGCCGGTTCCGTACCGCGCGTTAAATATTGGAAACTGAAGGAAAACGTTTACGTTGTCGGTTAATCGTGTCCGTTACCGCGTTACTTGGCCGCAAAATTGATTTCCACGTTCGACGCAAGAGCTCGAAGTTTCGAAGCAACGAATAAATGGCTAACTAACGAGAGAGAAGGGCTTCGTACAAGTTGGAGAACGTCGAGCAAACACGATTCCCCGTTGCTGCCAAACATTCGTTCGCGTCATAGACGAGCTTTCGACGCTGTTACCGACTCCGTGTAGACACGACCGACCTAACGAATCGTGTTGCTCGAATTCGAATATCAAGCAGTTCGAGAAACGGAAACAAATATCCTTCGTTCGAGCAAACACGGAGAAATCGCAGTTCGCTTTGTCTTACGGTGCTCGTTGCCGAAAGCGCACCCCCCGTCTTTCTTTACGCTTAACGCTTAACTGGAAGTACGTGGATCTTTCAGACCCGAGACATTTATAGATTACGAGGCTCTTTTAAGGGAGAGGGTCGATGACCCTACGGAATATTTTTAGAGGAGTTAATGAAGGGATATTACGCCCTGTGCTTTCTTTTCTTGGAATTTTTTCGATCCGAAGGGGTTGCATAGTCCCCTTCGAACATACACATCTTTCGCGCGTTAAGTACCGTCCGTTCTTCGATCGACAGTTTATTAATACTTACCGAAAAGTAGTTTGCTAATGACGTCGTCCCAGCGTGATAGAAA